AGTGAATGGTTTGAGAAGTCGATTAACCGCGAAGATGGCTTCGAGGACTTTTATATTTGGGCTGATGCAAAAAAGGATAAGGATGGCGAGCGGATGCCACCAAATAATTGGGTGAGTAGAAGCATTTGGAGCTTATGTATATGGGCCATTCCATACAAAATTTACACCTTTGTGTTTTTTTGGTGTGAGATATTTTTTTTTTAATTCTTTGTCGAAAAGAGGATTTTTTTTATTGCAGCAAGATATTCAAAAATCTCGAAAAAAATTCCGCAATTTTGAATTCAGACAGAAGTATCTTTTTTCAATTTTTTGCTGATAATAAACTATTTGTAGGAGAAAATCAGTTAAGTAAACCAAATGTGCGTACTTACCTCGGGTTTCCATTAGAGTGTGTGATAAATTTATATAAATAATTTTTTGCATTAACAATTGTTTTTTTTTAAAGCAAAAATCAAACGGTGTATAATTAAAAAAATATATATATACAAAAAAGCAGTTTTGTAATGCAACAAATTATTTATTTAAATCTATCTCACATTCTAATGGAAAGCTGAGGTAATTATGCATATTTGATTTTATCCGACAAATAGTTTACTAACGCTGCAGAAAATTTATAAAAGGTAATTTCCTGTGAGTTCAAAATTTTGAACTTTTTTTTCGAGATTTACTAATATCACGATGAAATGAAAAAAACATGTGCCATCTTTTTTCCGATAAAGAATGATCAAAAAAAAAAAAAATATTTCACTCCACAAAAGTAACATTGAGGTGTAAATTTTGTATGGAATGACCCATATGCATTAAAATTGGATATGCCTTTTATGCGATGAATATTTTGTGGTTACTTTCTTTTCTTAGAATTTATTTTTTTTTTTATTTAATTTTAAATATTTTTTCCCACAGCAATCGGTGTTCTACGGCTCCGCGTGGACATGGAATGAGAAACGTAGCCAATATTATCTGCATCAATTCACAGCTGCCCAACCAGATTTGAACTTCCGCAATCCCAAAGTAGTCGAAGCCATGGATGAAATCCTACACTTTTGGTTGGACAAAGGCATTATGGGTTTCCGCATCGATGCTATCAACCATCTCTTCGAAGATTCCAAACTGCGTGATGAACCCCGCACTGGCAAAACTGATGACAAACATTCCTATGAATACACCGAGCACATTTATACCAAAGATCAGGTAGGTCCAAACATATCTATTGCATTTTTTTCTTAGCAGACGCATGCAATATTATGCATGTTATGTCCACAGCCCGAAGTTTTGGATATGTTGCAACACTGGCGTCAACTGTTGGATGACTACACAACCAAACATGGTGGCCACACACGCATTCTGATGACCGAAGCCTATGCTGATTTGAAAACACTGATGGACTACTATGAAACCGAAGACGGCAAGCAGGGTGCACACTTTCCATTCAACTTTAATTTCATCACCGATTTGAATGAGCAATCGGATGCGCGCGACTTTGTGTTCAACATACAGAAGTGGTTGACTTATATGCCGCGCGGACACACTGCCAACTGGGTCATGGGCAATCATGATAACGCGCGAATGGCAACACGTTTCGGTCCCAAGCTAGTCGATGCCATGCATATGCTGATGATGACACTACCCGGCGTGGCGGTAACCTATAATGTAAGTGCGGTAGTAGATTGCTGGAATTGATATTCAAGAAAATGTAATGCTTTCTTTCATCTTTTTCGCTTTCACTTCATCAAGGGTGAGGAAATTGGCATGCAAGACCATCGCGATATCACCTGGGAGGAAACTGTCGACCCACCAGCACGTAATGTTGGACGTGAGCAGTACATGCAGGTGACGCGCGATCCGGCGCGTACACCCTTTCAGTGGAATATGCAAAAGCAAGCTGGTTTCTCCAGCGCTGAGAAGACGTGGCTGCCTGTGAACCCCAACTACAAAAATTTGAATTTGAAGAAACAAATGTCGGAGAAGAGTCACTACTCGGTGTATAAGGCGCTAGTGGAACTACGCAAAATGCCAGCGCTGCGCAAAGGACGCTTCCATGCTGAGGTGATCAATCGTGATGTGTTTGCTTTCGAAAGGTGCGAAGAATATCTAACGAGCTTCTCTAAGAACTTAACAAATTTTTGGTTGCTAAAGCTTATCTGAGATACTGTCAAATCTTTCTTTTTATTTTACAGGGAAATCAAAGACGAAAACTCCATCATTACTGTCATCAATATTGGGCAACGCGCACGCGCCGTGAATTTGACTGAAATTTTCGATCTGAAATATCAACAAAAGCTTACTGTGTTAGTCGCGGGATCCAAGTCTACGCATGAGACTGGGTGAGTTTGCCTAACTTGATTCTCCTTTGTTTTACATAATATCCTCATAACCTATGCACCGCTAACACGCACCTTTTGTTATAACCCTGCAGTGAAGTGCTACCCGCCGAAGCTTTGCCGTTGGCACCCTATGAAGGTCTCGTTTGCATGCTCGAGTAAATAATCCCGGTTGCATAAGAATTTGCCTGAAATGTATGCTGAAATTTGAGCTGAGCACTCTTACCATCACAAGAAATTGTGAATGTGTTTTTATCGATTTAACAAGTTATATATATAAGTTGCATTATTTAAGTAGAAAAAAAAAAACAAACAAATAAATTCTAACACAAAGTGAAATGAAATATATTGTTAATATTTTATTAAAAGGACAACAGTAATTAGTGCATATAGGTACATATAGCGAATTTTTCCAGGGACCAACTTAAATTTAATAACATTAATTTACCGCACCTGTCGCACTCGTAGCAGCTGAATAGGGTTTTTGTGGCCAGAAAGTCATTAAATTTTTTATGACTTTGAAATTGTTGGCCATTATTTTACTTCTATATTTGTAGGCCTGAAAGTGCCAGCTAATATCGAGTGTCCACACCTACGCCGCCAATGCACTTTATTAATTGCTTTGTATGAAAATAAGCGCTAGGCTATTATAAAACAATACGAATTATATGTATATAAGTAGGTACATATGTACATATTTACTAAAATTTTTGTTGCGCACGCACTCCAGCCCCAGCCCTGGTGACGTCAAACCGCATGCGCTGCAGAGAAGAGGCTTGGCATTAAGCCAAATATTGCAGGCAGTAAAGTGGCTAAGTGTAGAGTTTGCAAAAGCATCTATATACCCCTCATACTCTTCGAAAATCCCCAGTGGCGGTGTGAGCGTCTTTGCGCGTCTCCATAATGTCTGCAGTGATAATTTTTCATTTACCAGTTTGCCATTTGCCGCTGCATAGGTGTTTCTTTTATTTTTGTAAAATTTCAAGTAAATTTTAAGCACTTTGCAGCGCGCATGCCACTCAAGTACGAGTAACTTGATTCTAGCTACTGTTTATGCAACTTGACATTTGAATTCGATTTCGATGAAGATTAATTTGAAGTGCTAACTATTTTAGAGCTGGTGATTTTTTCGCACTTCTCACTTGCCACTTCACATCAAATCGCTAATGTAGTAAAGATTTTTATGTTGCCAATTGTTGGCTTGGATGTAGCATGCTGCGCTGTTAGTAGATTTTTACTATGTAACCAATGACATACATACATACATACTTTGACTTACTGCGTTATACTATTAATCTTTTTTAATGCCCCATTAATGTTAGCAGTTATGCCGCAAGAAGTGGTGCGTTGAGTGAAATTGATGTGGTGATTTGTATGAAATTTTCAATGATAATTAGTTTTCTTGATTGCATAGTCAATTAGGAATTTTTCATATAGAATTGTTTATACATTTTTGTAAAGTACAAATTTAAGTTCATGGAAAGTATTTATCAGTATATGATTGTATTGTATTCGAAAGAGAGCTAAAAAATTGTTTGAGCTACATACCTCGTGGTTCTTTTGGCATTAGACTAACTAATTGTGGAAAATTTCAAGGCTAACGTAGGTACCCAATTTTTTTGTAATTATTTAGTTTGATATTCTTTTAAAGTTTAATTAAAGCGAGCTTTGTGTGCACTCACTTATACAGTATTGTACTGCTTAACAGTGGCGTAGCCATGGGCAGGGAATTGGGTGAAATATATCTTCCTTTGTTATTGAACTACTTTGATTTACTCTTCATTTAATAACACCATACCATTTTCTCCTTCTGATTTATAATTTTTTTTTATTTAAGACTAATAAAAAAAAAACATTTTTATAAATGTTTGAAATTGTCGGTTGGATTACACTGGCCGACAGCAAAACAAAAAAAGCTTGCACGCCATTTATATTTCTCGCATAAATATTGGATATTTCATTCGTTTCTTCAGATTGGTTCTTGTTTGCGAATTATTACAAATTTCTGGTTGATAAAATTCGTAAACCTAGATATACTTTTAGTCACCATGGTGCAAAATTTTACTATGCAAACGCATATGAAAGGTTGGTGCTCCCACAAATAAGAACACCTAGTTAAGTATGCCTTCGCTCATGCCCTTGTTATAAAAATCTCTTTCTTCAAGACACAAAAAGGCATTTATGGCCACAATTTTAAATTTTGGTAAAATGATTCGGTCGAAAGCTGAACACTTTTCATTATATTTTGTCACAGAACTTTCGAGAGTTGATTCATATAGTATTTTTTCGTAGAATAAGAATCTGACCTTTAAATTATTTAAGTGGCTTTACAGGGGAATTCTGCCCGAGATAGTAAAGTCTTTCGTAAGACAAATGAAAGACAGATGTTTCGAAAGACTTTTGTTATTATAGAAAATTTCTTAGAAAAAAGCTCTTTCATTCACCTCCCGCGGTGAAAATCTATTTTGAGAGAAATCACTTGTATATATCATTTACCTCACGTCGCGCTAGCAGTCGAAATGGCCGAACGAACAAAGCACAGGCCTGCTATGTGAGAGATCCGAGTTCGAGTCCTCGGGAAGGGTATTTTATTATTTTTAGCAAAACAAAATTTTTAGAAACTTATTTTACGTTTTCTCATTTTTAACTAAGTTTTTTTCTTAATATATTTTTTTAATTTCATTTAATTTTTAGGAATTTATTTAGTTTTTGCTCTTTAACCGCCTTCAAAAAAGGGGGAGGTTGTCAATTCGGCGGAATTTTGTTTTCTTTTTTTTGTATGCCACCGCATAACTTTTGACCATGTTAACCGATTTATATAATTTTTTCTTTAAAGGAAAGGTGGTACCTCAGAGGTTCTAATTTGGTTTAGATACGATCATTGCTTTTTGCTTAAAAATTACTTGTTTAGATTACTATTTTTATCTTCTTTTAGTTTAGTGTGCTTTTAGGTTTTGGATTGTATTGTTTAAAAAAGGTTTTTTTATTCAAATAAATTTTCAGAAATTTATTTTATTTTTTTTTTTTTGTTTTACTGGGTTAATTTGCTTTTATTTTTTTAAATTAATTTTCTTTTAATTTCTAGTTTAAGTTTTAAAAACAAAAATATTTTTTAAATTATTTTGAAATTTTAACGTACTATTTTCTTTTTTGATTTAATTTTCTTTTTTTTCTAAATTTATTTGTAGATTTTATTGTTTAAAAAGGAAAAATATATATATTTTTTTAATTTAATTAAATTTTTAAGAATATTTGTATTTATTTTGCTTTATTTTAATATTTCAATATTTTTTACTTTTTCTTTTTTAATTTTATTCACTTTTATCTATTGGTTTCTGTTGTTTTAAAAAGGAAAATATGTAAATATTTTTTAATACTACATAATGAGTATAACGCTCATTAGCAGAGCTTTCAATTAGTCTTTCGAAAGACAGTAAACACTCTTTACCAAAGAGCTTTCGGGATAGTTACTTTATTTATTTTTTCTTGCTTTAGTTTAATTTGCTTTTCTTTTTTTTAAATTAATTTTCTTTTAATTTCTATTTTTTTTAATGAAATAAAAATTTTTTTTAAAATAATTTTTAATCTATAAACACAATTTTCTTTTTTGATTTAATTTTATTTTTTTTTTGTTTTTCTAAATTAAAAGAAAAAAAAAATATTTTTTTAAAAATAATTTTTAATCTATAAACACAACTTTCTTTTTTGTTTTAATTTTCTTTTTTTTGTTTTTCTAAATTAGAAGAAAAAAATATATATATTGTTAAATTTCATTTAATTTTTTAAAATATTTGCATTTATTTTTACTTTATTTTAATATTTTTTCTTTTTTAATTTAATTTTCTTTTATTTATTGGTTTCTATTGTTTTAAAAAGAAAAATATATAAATATTTTTAAATTAAATTTAAGTTTTAAAAATCGTATTGCTAAAAGGCGATCAGGATAACGCTCGTTGGCAGGGCTTTCAATAAGTCTTTCGAAAGACAGTAAACCATCTTTACTAAAGAGGTTTCGAAATAGTTGCCAGAATTGATAACTGTCTTACTAAATAGTTTTGTCTTTCGAAAGACTGTGGTGGGTTGAAAGACAGTTGCCAGAATTGCGCTGTAAATTAGCACTTCGAGTTGTTTCAAATCGCTGGTAAAAATTTTTAAACTCAAAAGGTTCATAAATATATTTTATGATAGGTTTTATTTATAGTTTGATCTATATAGTTATTTATTTACAAGTACGCAATACTTTTCATATATAGTTATTTATTTACAAGTACGCAATACTTTTCAGAACCACCCTCAATTGTTTTTAAAATAAAGAAAAGGGCGATTTCACTGAAACCATTTTTGCGATTCGTCGATTTTAGAGTTTAACGAGTTAATTTTATTAACAATAAGCAGTGGCGGATTTGAATATTTGTCACCCCTAGGCAATTCAGAATTTGACGTCCTTTTTCCGATAAGAAAAATATTTTGAGGTAAAAGTACCAGTTTTGGAACGATTAGCAGTAAATAGTAACATTCGAATTTATGTTATTTACTATACTTTTATTACAATTTAAGATGAAAAAGTGGTATTTGCCTTGAGTAAAGGTTTTCAATTTTTAAAGAAAGCCATCATCAACAAACTTTTTTCACTTGATAGGTTATAGTCTCAAAAATACTAAATTAGTATTTTTTAATATTATCATTTAAATAATATCAAAAATACCTAACAGTGTTGTCCTATTTTCTGACTGCGTAATTGAATCTCAAATTTGAGTCGTAAAATGTACAAACACAAATTCTACTTTCAGTGCAGCTAAGTTGCAAAAAAAAAATGTTTCAACTCAAATTTTGCTGCCCTAGGCACCTGCCTATGTTGCCTTTACGGTAAATCCGCCACTGACAATAACGTAAAGTTTTGTTCCGTATAACTATATATAGCTTTTTTCCTGCGTTGTAGAGTTTTTTTACTAAATGTAGGCATTTAAAAAATCGACGCAAAAGGATCCCTTTAATGAGAAAATAGGAGCTCTAAACTCTAATAATTTTCTATGTGTTTTAATATAAATCCCTTTGAACCAAACGCTTTTAACATACCACCACAGTGTATCTGTAAGTTCGCTTCGTTGCAAGTTTTTGCAAATTAAATAAATAGCGCCCAAAGCACCATGCATAACAAAAATGTTTAATTCAAACTAATTACATTCTCCAAAAATTAATTTTCCTTTCCTAAACAGATTTCAGATGAGACCAAATGGCAGATTACGGTTAGCCGCTTATGAGGGCATCGTTTTTGATTTAACAACACCTGCAGGCGAAGCTGAGGCCAGAGTGTGAGTAGAGCAAACAAAAACAAA